AGCAGGAAGTTGACGTAGAGGGAGTTCTGCAGCATGTTCTCCAGCTTGGCAAAGAGGACCGCCACCAAGGGCCCTGCGGGAGGGTCAGAGAGAGGCGCTGGCATGAGGGCCCCCAACACCCCGGCCAAGCCCGGGAGGGCCCCCGCGGCCTCCCTTCCAGCCACTGGAGGCGCCACTCCAGCCGGCCGGCCAGTCTCCCGGGAACTTCCGAGACCAAAACCAGCCCAGGGACCTTCTGCACGGGACAGCCCCCTGCTTTGCGAGTGAGACACACACACACACACCCCTCCTCGCGAGCACTCCGGAGCTCGGGGAACCCTTTGCCTGGACCTGCTTCCTCCCTGGGCCTGGCCACCACCACCCCCAGCTCCACCGTGACCAGTCGGACCGGCCGCAGCTCACTGGAGCAACTGCGGATGCGCCTGAGACTTCCTGCATGAACACAGAAGAGCCCTGCTGGGTCAGGCCAGTGAGGGTCCATCCAGTCCAGCTTCCTGTCTCACACAGGGGCCAGCCAGTCCCTCTGGAGGGCCAGCAACCGGGCAGAGAGGCCGAGGCCTTCCCCTGAGAAGAACCTCAGAAGAGCCCTGCTGGGCCAGACCAGGGAGGGTCCATCCAGTCCAGCCTCCCGTCTCACACAGGGGCCAACCAGTCCCTCTGCAGGGCCAGCAACAGGGCAGAGAGGCCGAGGCCTTCCCCTAAGAACCTCAGAAGAGCCCTGCTGGGTCAGACCAGGGAGGGTCCATCCAGTCCAGCCTCTCGTCTCACACAGGGGCCAACCAGTTCCTCTGGAGGTGCAACAGAAAGGGCAGGGAGGCCGAGGCCTGCCCCCGAGATTGCCTCCTGGCACTGGGATTCAGAGGTTGAGTGTATCTGAATGTGGAGGTTCCCCTCAGCCACCATGGCCAGTAACCACTGATAAGACATCCTCCCAAAATTTCTCTAATCCCCCTTGAGAGCAGTTTATTCCCGTGGTCATCACCCCCTCCTGTGGCAGCGAGTTCCACATTTCAGTCACTTTGTGTGTAAAGTGGTACTTCCTGTTGTCCGTCCTGAACCTACTGCCCATCGGCTTCACTGGATGCCCTCACATTCTAGCACTTTGGGAGAGGGAGAAAAAGGTTCTCTTTGGCCACTCTCTCACGTCCCCCGAGTGGTCTCCTTTCTGGACCGAGGGTGTCCCAGGCTCTTCACCCTGTCCCCCCCCCACGACAGCCCCCTGACCCGTCTGGCGGGCGGTGCCTCTGCAAGAGAAAGGTCCTTTCCATCCCACTCGAACTGGAGACCCGGGGGGGGCTTCTGCGTGCCTCACCCCTCCCTATGCTGCACTTTCTCTCAGGCTCCCTACCCTGCCCGCTGGCCTGGGGTGCCAGAGAAGGAAGCGGGAAGCCCCCCGAGAGCCCCCTCAGAGCCGGCTCCCCCGCCTTGCCCTCCTCAGGCAGGGGGCAGAGAACCGCCTGGCCTGGGCCTCCAGCCGCTGTCCTTGGGGCAGGGCGGTGGGCAGGTCCGGCAAGGCCAGCGGGACGATGGAACCGCCCCGCAGAAGGCGCCTGGACCAGCCCCACCCAGGGGCTCCCGCTCACTCTCCCACTCTCCCGGGGCCACCCTGCGCCCCTGCAGCGGCAGCAAGGGCCCCCGCAAGAGACACGCCTGGGCGGGAGGACGGGCCGAGGCAGGCAGCGGAGGGGCGACGGCTTCTCCTTCTGCAAGCCTCCCAGGCCCCCCGTAAAGGCCACAGGAATCCTTCACACCTCCACCACGGAAGAAAGGTGCTCTTCTCAGAATCACAAGGGGGCGCGTGGAGAGGAGGGCTCACCTGTGAAGGGCTGGCTGGGGGGCTGGCTGGGGGTCCGCGGGGGGCTGATGATGATCTGGGCCAGAGGGTCAGCTGCCCGGGGCTGCCCCGCCCCGTCTGGGTGGGAGGCAAAGCTCCGGAAGGCCTCCTCCTCCTCGCAGGAGAGGGGGTCGGGCTCCGGCGGGGGGCCAGGCGTCAACGTCTCCCCTCCTCGGCCCCCGCCGCCGTTCATCTCCTCCTCCAGCTGGCTGAGCCCCGCCGTCACCGCCCCCTCCCCCCGCCCCCCTCCGCCGTTCCTCTCCTCCTCCAGCTGGCTGAGCTCGGCCGTGAACTTCTCGAGGGTGGTGGTGGAGGAGGAGGGGGAGGAGGTACCGCCGTTCTCCAGGGGGGGTGGGGGGGTCAGCAGGTCGTCCAGCAGGGAGTCCAGGCAGGGCACCGTCTGCTCCCAGGTGGGCTCGGGCCGGGGGCCGGGGCCAGAGCCGTTCTCCACCACAGGCCCCTGGGGGCACCGGCGGACCTTCTTGATGCCAGTGTCTGCGTGGGCCCCGTTGAGGAGGGGGAGGAGGCCGCCACTGCCGGGATCCAGGGGGCCGGGAGAGGTGGGGGGGCTGGGCTGGGCGCCAAGCGGAGCCCCCTCCGGGCCGGCCACCTCCTCGGACAGGCCCCGCTTTTTAGTCCGGGGGGAGGTGGGTGTGTGGCCGGGGTGCCCCCCCGGGTGGAAGGACGTGTAGCCGAAGTGGTCGCTGCTGATGGGCAGGGAGGCGTCCAGGGGCGGGGCCAGGCTGCTGGCACCGGGCACCTCCCCGTCGTAAGGGGCGGACCAGGCCCGGCAGGCCCGGACGCAGCGGTCGACGTGGAGGCGGGCGTCCCGCAGGTACTCCAAGTAGTTCCCGTCTAGTTCCGAGACCTCCTCCCAGCGGGCGGGGTGGTGGGCGGGGCTCCCCG